CAGAAAACCGGGTCTTAAAGGGCCCTCCGCCCAAATCCTTTTAGCCTTTTTGCCTACTCGAGGTCCTCTATCGAATGATGTATGAACGAACGAGATCGGAGCCGGACACCTGGGGCGGTTCCCTCGTTAGGAAATAAAAAACTGGGGCACCAACATCTATTTTCGTTTTAGCAGTAGACGTTTGAAGCTTCTTTGCTGTCGTTATTTATCTTGAGGTATTTATACGGTAACAATTCACTCTGTCTCAAGATTATTCGCCCATTAGATCACGAAGCAATTTTACTGTAAATCTTCCTTTTATGGCACCAGAACGAACCTACTGCTTGAAAGTCTTGGCACAAAATGTTTGTTGATTTTCAGAATACTTATTAGCAACTTTGAGAGTCAAACGCCGTCAGATAGAATCAGACTTTTATGCTCTTTCCGAATATATGTTCGAATTTTTTTTCTGATGTAATATTGATTAACTGTGAGCAAATGTTTGAAAGAACCAAAAATGAATTCTGTACACAGAAAAATAGGAGTTTTTGCGCAATCTAGGTTGTATTTCGAGGCAGTTTGAAATCGATATTATTGTAGAGCATTTAATTCTCTACAAAATGTGGTATTACAACGGCTTACAGTTCAAGAGAATCAAAAGTTCTATAACTTTTTCTGAGAGCTACTTTCTACGTAAAACGGCATTCGATGAAAAAATCGATTTTTCAAAACCTGCCGTTTAGAATCAATAAATTTGAAACATTTTTGGCAGAAAGAAAAAGAAAAGTAAAGAGAGAAAGCAGTTTTGTAGAGTAAAATTAGCTCTACAAAGCTAATTAGCTAAAATTAGCTCTACAAGAGCTAATTTTACTCTACAAAACTGCTGTATTAAAGGATGTTCCATGTTTTGAGTTAAGTATGTTTTAATGAAAATACAAAAATAGACCAAAAATATTCTGTACAGACTTCATTTTTGGCTCTTTCAAACATTTGCTCACAGTTAATCAACAGTAAGCTGGAAAAAAACATCTGAACATATGTTTGGAAAGAGCATAAAAGTCTGATCTTAACTGACGACTTTTGACTCTCAACAGTTGCTAATAAGTATTCTGAAAATGAACGAACATTTTGTGCCAAGACTTTCGCGCAGTAGGTTATTAAAGATGTTTTATACTAAAACCATTCAATCTTACAAGATTTTCCTGTAGAAAGAATATAATTTGCTGGAATATATTTTACGTGGTAGGAACGGAAGCTCCGCATAACGGAACAGATTCCATTTCAAAATTCTCATGGAATTGTAAATTACACTTACCATACCAGCAACAAAATTGATCTTTCTTGTGATATAATTTTTGTTCATTATCCTCGTAACATTAATTTACAAAATGTCATGCATTTCAGAGTCCAATCTGACTTCCTCGTCGGTAGCAAAAATTGTGAAATGAGCATTAATTACACAATAACACGAACTATACACGAAAGAGTTTTCTGAAAATCTTGGGCAGAAACAATGGCAGTGTTTTACTCTTTTTAAAGGATTAACAGACGCTTGAGTGATCAATATTTCAGCGCCGACACTTGAGCAAAGTGCATCAGTTATAACTACTAATCTTCACCTTCACCGTCTATAGACCTCCAAATAATTTAGTTCATAATCGGACGACAAAGAAATTGTTATCATCGTTGTTATTGATAGTTATTGAAGTCAACAATTATTCCATTTTTCTGATCGGAAACAAGTCATATCAAAAAGTGTCTAGTGTCGGATTGGATCAATTGTCGATCGCTCAAACATCGGTTGACGTCTTAAAGTTATCACGGGCAGTAATTGGCTAGAAACACGATTTTATAAACAGAAAAGTAAATTCTGGTAATTCAATGAGAATATTGCATGACAAAATTCGAAAGCATTTTGCTACACGAAAATAGTGTTTGGAGTTTTTCTGGACATAGGTTTTTGACTTTTACCTGCTCATGCCGCATAGATTTCTCCGCCATTTTAAATGCTCATCAAGGCTTTAAAAAATCAATAAAAAAATTTAAAAATCTGGCCGTGTTAAGTTTTAGCGCCAAGTCTTGGCTACATGTTGCACCCTGCCCGAAGTCTGTATCATTTAAAAAACTCAACATTTCGAGCTTACATTTTTATTGTCATCCTTCGAAGATAAGGTACACGTTTTGAGATAGTTTTATCGCATGTTTCGGGACAGAAAAACAGAGGAGTCTTAAGTACACACATACAATCATACTGACGATAACTGATGTCAATTTTAGCGCAAAAAAAACACAAATTGACAATAGAAATACTATACAGTGTAGTATTGGTTCTTTTTGATACTGTTACATCGCTTATAATATCAATAAACATAGCTTTTCTAGAATCCTTTTCAATAACTTCCACTTTTCTATATACACTACGGCTTGTTACATATTTATTGTTTCATAATATATTCGCCAACTGATTTCAACGATAAATAAGAACAATTCACTTGACATAAGTATGACTATTGTCGAAAAAGAAAAAAATTGTGCTGTTTATTAAAGTAAACTATTATTGATAAAGGAAAATGCGCAATGCACACATACCAGAGGCTATTATTCATATCAAATCAATACTATAGAAAAATAATTCGAGTTTTTTGAAGTATATACAGTCGGAGGCAAACATTGCATTTCATTGTAACGAAGACAGATATTCTATTTTATTAGTAACATTAGAAGTAATGGATCATGTTACAGGAAGTGCACGCGATAATCAAGCAAATGCACAAGATATTGATATTATGCTTGATGAAGGTGAAGTATATTCAGAAGATGAGTTAATTTCAACACAATCACCAATATTCGTTCGCATTAAATGGAATGATCAAAATTTAACTGATTTACCGAATGGTAATGATAGTCAAGGTATTTGCTGTGTCAATGGTTATAAAATGAAACTAGCTTATTGTCCAGATACGAAGCATTTATCATCATCATTACTTTGGTGTTTTGATGTCAAGCATCAAACAGACATTGGTCAAACGAGTATTTCAAGAGATCCATTTATTAATCAGTCTTTTTTAATTGATATAGGAAAACAATTTGGGGAAACATTAAATACTGTTATTGAATCATCACCATCACCGCAAGATAGAAACTATTATTACCAATTATACAATGCAATTCGTCAACATGTACAACAAGTATTTAAAAAGAAACAGACAAAATTTGCTCAAGTATCAAGAATTGATTTATTCGAATTACCATTCATGATATGGGGATCTGTCTACGGTTTGAAAATGGAAAATATGTATCGATCACAGCTTTCAGCATTAATTGATTTCTATCATAAATACAAACAATTAAGTAATGGAAAAATTGCCACACAAATAATTAATCAAATGATTAATCGTGTTATTAGCTATGCGACCGATATTGTTGTATCAATCAGATTAAACTTTTGGCCCGAAAACGTTCAACCATTTCTTTTCCGTTTTAAAACGGCGAAACCGTTGTTGTACGAGCAAATAAAGACTGTCTATATGCATGTCGTGCCAAAATGTGCCTACAACAATACGGATATAATTAATCAGGAATATCACTTTCGTTATTCCTTCTCAGTTGTTGAACAAGTTCTAGCAAATTTACGTTCACCCAATGAAAAACAGTTGTACACATTGGCAAGAAATATTTATTACAAATATTTAGCCGGTAAAACACCAACAGTAAAATCCTATTTTATTAAGACAACTGTGCTATGGATGTGTGAAAAAATTGACGAGCTAAGTAATGATAAACTTGAATTAACAATTCAATGGATTACTTATGCATCAGACAAGTTAAAGATACATAATTGTGAACATTACTTTATGAATGAGATTAATATTTTAGAACAATGTTCGATTGAAGATTTAAACACAGCTTATGAAATTTTAATGAATATTGATACGTCTAGTGATCATTATGAAGATAATTCACTAAGTAAAAAAAGTTTTCATACAATTTATGCAGAACTAATCAATCAAGGTAACGAATGGGCTTGTAGTCTCGATCCAGGAATCATTCTTCAAGCTGTTCAAAATTGGGCAGAAATGAAAATTAAATATTTTTCATCATCACGCAAGAAAGCGTACAGTCATCTAGAAGAATGTTTATTTTTACTAAATTGTTTGGCGGTATTAGACGGCAACGAGAATAAAAATAATTTATTACTATTTAAAGAACATTTTTTGAATGAAATTGATCCAACTGATGTTAATGAAACTTTCTGGAATAATGTAAATACATTTATACCGAGTGCTTACGTTCATGGTCTGTTGTGTTTAGGATATACTTCAAAATGGATTAATGATATAGTCACAAATAAAGACCCAATTGAAAATGTAAATAAAATTCATATTACTTTATTGACAAAAATCATTGACGTCGTTAATCAAAATCATCTATTTTCGATAAAAACATGTAAGTCTTTTCAATATATAGATGTAACTATAGTAGAGTATAGTTTCAACTACTTTCAATGTTTATGTTCTAGCATTTGATGGATCTATTATCGATGATAATAATTCATTTTCATCATCAATTGCTCAAATACTAAAAGTTGTCACAAGTGCACCATTGGCTTATATAAAAGAGATTTTCACTGCAAAACGTTCAGAATCAACAACAACCGATTCACATTACGGTGAATTAAATGATATTGATGATAATTTAAAGGATGAGAATGACATGATTTCCATAGCAATAGAACAATCCTTATATGAAAATAATTAACACATATTTTTAATTACTGGTTGATTCATATCTTTAAATTTTCATCGAGAAAACGTGGGATAAAAAGTAAACCGTTTTAATAAAAAGACAGAATTCTCTGACGATAATGAAAAATTCAAAGAAAAGATAAAATAATACAGATTTCTTTTAATTTTGAAAGATAAGAGAATATCTCTTATACATTTTTCTTTGTTTCCATTAGTGACGTGTGGTTTGCTATAGCAATAAGTTAAACGCCAAATGTTTTGATGATGTGGCGGTTTGATATATTGGTAATGAAAACCATTACACGATAGTACAGCAGTCTTCCATCAATCTGGGCGAGATTGGTGGACAATCAGACTACTCGCGTATATATGTATATTAGTGTGTACCTAACAACCATTATTAATTCATTATGTATATTTTTCTGAGTTATAAACTATTTTGAAGTGCCAATTTTATACCTCTTCGGGAACACACAGACACAGAAAAGGATGAAGTGATCTCTTTCGGCTTTTTTCACTTCACGCAACTTTTTCCTTTTCTCATTCTGCACGAGTTCTGTATCATCAAAATGTGAGTATATTCTGTCATATCTAAGATAACGAATGTACACTCTAAGATAAAAACCTAATTGTTATTGAAAATGTTGACCTTCAAGACTGTTTTAAGAGACCAGTCTTGTCAAGAATGAACAACCACGTTGCATTTTTTTAATTTCACATACCAGTCTTTTCTTTTTTTATGCCACGTCGCTTTCTTCGTCACTCAGTGGCGAAGAAAGCGACGTGGAGCACTGTAGAATTTCAAACTGTGTGAATAAGTTATTCACACAGTTTGAAATTCTATAGTGACATGAAGTATTAGTCATGCCGCACATACCTATAAAAGAGCAAAAATCAAGAAAAAGTTTTTTCAGTTCTGTTACTATTATTTTTATTAATGTTATAAACATGCCGTTTTGGAGTTATATTAGAAGGCTCTTGCTATCATTTAGCAATGATGCTGCAAGTAAGGCAAAATTGTCATAACTGTCAAGTTGAGTCAGTCTGGTGATAAAATGCTTTTGTGAATATGTGTGAAAGTGTTTGTAATGACAACTATTGACACGAGGACGAGTTGTTAGGACACAGTTTTCAACTAAATAGCATCGAATCGAAACACATACTTCGAAGTATTATCGTTAACTTTAAAAACGATATGATGATAAAAGCTTCCTAATGAATGTCTTATGACACGTTTGTGCATTACCTGAAATCACCTGAAAGAGTTTATCACGAAAAATACTTAGTAAAGAACTTTGGATAAAGACTTCATGTGAAAATCTTTTTCTCAGAATTAGAGTTAAAAATTATGTCAGGCGAACCAGCAGTTAAGGCTCTCTTTTCAGAGAAGAGTAGCAATAGTTTTCACCTGTCATGCATGCCCGAGTAATGATAGTGACATAACTGTCATAAAAGAACAAGTGAGCCTTGAAAGCTCGTCTCAAATGGACAATAATCCACATCAAGAGAGAGTTCTTCAAACGCGGTCCCGAGTCCGAATTTTTTCAAACCTTTTTGGCTGTTGCTATTTATATTTCTTTTCCCCTACAACATATCAACCTTATTATACCAGAAAAAGCTACACAATTAAACTTCTATTGCATATCCCATACTGATATTGAAAAACTGAAAATTTTCCTGTTTATTTATGTAACAGTTTGAATTGATCGCATTCGAACACAAAACCCCAAGTTCGAATACGAGTCTATCGAAAAAGCTTCAGTCAGAGTCCACGGAAAACTTTTCCAGGGATTACCTAATCCTGGTTCAAACTCCGATCAAACTGATGTAGGAGTTCAAGGAGCAGCAAACCATGAGCGGTCTGTTTCTGTGTATTCCGAATCTAGCTCATGTGATGTTCAGTACGGATCAAATCAACTACAATTATCATCATTTGAGTGCCAGAGAAGCAAAAAATCTGAAAAAAATTTTCTCTTTTCTACAGCAAGTAGTAAACAGTAATTTTGTTTATGTTCTTCTTTTCTTCGCTATCCTCTTGTCACTTTTCAATTAACATTTGTTTACTTTCATTATCTAGGAACTGAACAGGAAAGTCCGAATGCGAACAAAGTCGGTATAAATTTCCAAGACCACTCAGATAACAAGACAATAGCTCATGAATTGGATCATGAGAAGGGTAAGGCACAATCTCTGCTGAGTTTGTTATGCGTATTAGAGTTTGATAAATGAAACCTACTGCATGCCTCTCACTTTGAATGGAGCTCCAACTGTTTAATACGAGAGGTTCTTTCTTTTCTTAGCGTGGCGTGAGCTGACATTCTATTCCAGTGATAAAATTGTTCAGCCCCATCAAATACATCCAAAATCTCCATCAGTTACAGCAGACAACACATATAGACAAATATCCGGTTCAATGTTGGGTATGGCAATCGGTGATGCAATGGGAGCTCATGTAGAGTTCCGACCCCGCTCATTTTTGGAACAAGATCCAGTAACAGATCTTATGGGTGGTGGTACATGGGGCTTAAAACCTGGTCAATGGACAGATGACACCTCCATGGCTTTATGTTTGGCTATCAGTCTCATTGTTAAACAAGGCTATAATGCCTATGATCAACTTGTGAGATATAAATGGTGGTGGAAAGAAGGGTAATTAGTAAATCTTTAGTGTGGCTCAGCCACGTAATCTCGGTTAGTGATTGATGGCTCTTTTCGACAAGTATGTGCGAGAACCAGGTTTCGTTAGTCCTATCGAGAGAATGGTCACTGTCCAACACTATTGGACATTGACAAAAATAGAAAATCAATCTTTTTCTAAGAAAATTCTTCTCAAGACAGGAATATTTTAGCAAACTTTTCACCTTGCTGACATCGAATGTGCGAATGCATCACTTTGTTGTCTATTCTTTGTCATTACTTCAGATACATGTCATCCACTGGTCGTTGCTTCGATATCGGAAGGGCAACGCGCCAATCATTAAACACATTTACCAGAAAGCAAAAAGAGTTTGCGAAAAACCATGGAATCTCCGACAACAACATAGACACAGTAAATGAAGCGGATCAGAACAAGTTTGAGAAAGAAATGAGTACTCTATGTAGTTATGAAGGAGTGGCAGGGAACGGTGCATTAATGCGTTTGGCACCCGTACCGTTATTTTTCTATCGTTCACCTGCAGATGCTGTTCGTCATGCCGGCAATTCAGCTCTTCTAACACACGGTGATAAAAGAGCCAGGGATGCGTGTCGTTATTATTCAGCACTGATAGCCGGCGCATTACTTGGTTATTCGAAAGATGAGCTGTTAGATAAGCAGTTTTATATTGATCGATGTAAGG